ACCAAGCTATATGTACATACATACATATATATATATATATATATATATATATGTATATGCATGAAGTGCTTTATGCACTAAATATATGTGATGTAACACTTGTTCTCCCTACCATGGAGTGCTTTACGCACTAAATGTGACTTGTTAATTTATTTTCCCTACTACCAAATAAGCTCACTTGATTTTGATATTTCTCCTGTAATTACTGTTTTATTTGTAAGTAATCCTTTATATATATATATATAAACTAATTAAAATTTTGAATATATTATTTTAGTAATAAATTTATATAATTTTTATTGAATTTGGTGTGAATTTTAATGATTTTTACAAAATATTTATTTATTCTAAACATATATAGCTTAATTTAACTAACATAAAAAACCCATGTTTCTTTCAATTATATATCACATTTGAAAATATATATTTTTAAAAAAAAATTATGTATTATTTTAATATATATATATATATATTTATTTATAGTTTTCAAAACTATAACTTGCTAGTGAAGAATGTGAAGACGTATTAGTTTGTGTATTATCAAAAGTGTTACGCACCAAACATGTTAAAATTAAAATGATTTTGTTTTATCCAAAAGAATAATAATAGAATTAAATTAACATGATTTTTAATGAATTGGTTAAATTAATATAATGATGGTAGCGGATTTTACATATTATTACAATTGAAAAAATCTATTTGTACATCACCATACAACTATGAAAGCTGTAAAGTGATTTTTAGATATTATTCCTTTTATAGTTCATGATTTACAAAAACAAAGTATATCTATCGTGAAAAATTAAAAAATAATTTTTTGTGAACGAGGCAAAATATCCTTCTAACATATATATATATATATATATATATATATATAAGAGGAAGGAACAAAAATTATTAGTATATGATTATGCAAATCCGATCATACAAATTTTTATAAATAAAAGACAATTCCAGAATATCTATCTATATATGTATATAACACTTGGTTGAATTCTCGAAAATTAGAATGCATGCCCCTCTAATTTCTATAAAACATCGAATCTCGTAAATATTACCAGGCTTAATACATTGATTGAGACCATAAAAGTGATTTCTTCTTGTAGATTTTGTTAGGTAAAAAGATTTGTCTCGGTAATTCAACAGTGAAAATTCAATTCCACCATCACCACCTTCGTCATCATCATCATCATTCTTCATATTCCATGCCTTGCTCTCACGCATTCCTTCAAAAAGCTACATAAACCCCCCCATCAGACCAGTCTCTCATTTCTACCTTCTTCTCTTGTTTACTCCTTTTTGGGTTCAATTCATATTTCGTTATCTCTAATGGGTTTCCATTTGATTGTTTCAGGATTCAGGTTATGGAGGTTAATTGGGTTCAATTCCGATTCTCTCCGATGGGTTGTTTTGTTTTGGTCTTTCTAGTTACATTTTCCTTTTTCTTTTCTTGTTTGGAATGGAAGAAAATGGGATTCAATGGGAATTGAACTCTGTTAATTGGTTGTTTTTCTTTCAAATCATGGAGGCTTCTTTCAAATCACTTACCCATCTCTCATCTCTATCATCAGATCCTCTTTTCTCTTGTATAGTCACTCTGTATATTCTTCTTCTTCTCTATTTTCCTCCTCGCATTTTCTTTTCCATCATTTTCTCTCCGGTTCTCACCATCACCGGACTCCTCTTGCTCTCCCTCCTCCGTCTCGGTGCAACCCAACGGTTCGGAACCCGAACCGACACCAAACGGAACATCGAACCCAATCGAGTTAGTGATACAAGGGGAATAACAGAACCCGATACAAAACCCGATATATACCATTTCTCACTTCCTCAAGACCTTGAATGGACCGCATGCAAAACAGAAAAGGAAGGCGAACCCGATTTGGGATTTAACCAGTACCCGATTTTCGAGCAAACATTCGTTCAGTGGAACGTCAGAGCTCCATTAGAGGTCATATACGAAGTGTACGAAGACGAAGATGATGGAGGAGGAGATTCTTCAAACCCGGAAGAGGAATTTTCGACCCGGTTTGAGATTTACCCGTCGTTGTCGCTTTATTATCCGGAAACCGATTCGGATTCGTCATCTGACTCGGATTTTCCGGTTATCGGAGACTGGACTGCGCCGGAGCGGGTCGGCTTCCATTGGGAAGACGAAGATAGAGAAGAGTTAATCGAGATAGCGCTCGATCGCGGAGATAAGCATGACACGAAGCAGAGGGATTTGGATTTTCATGGAGATGAAGAGAATCTGATTGAGATAGACATATCTCCGGCGAAGACACCGTAGTTTCCCAGCGAGACGATTAGGACGGGTTCTATGTGGATTAACTTTAAATGAGTGTGAGTAATTGATTAATTAGTGGGATTGTTATAATTAATACTAATTAGTGAGATTGGAAAGGAGAGATCTGAGGGTTTTCTAGGGTTTTGGGTTTGGAATGTTTTGATGGTTTACCGTTGTACTTCACCGATGCCAAAGGTACAATTAATGACTTTAACAACAATTAGTGACTTTTTAAATCAATAATTAATTGCTAAATCAATATATTTAAATTGCATGTGTGAAATGACTAATATTTCCTTCCTTTTGATTAAAAAAAAAAAAAGGAATTCCTCTGATTAAACGACACGAGGTTTTGTCGTTTGGATGCCGGGTTAGCCGGGTCGGATGGTGTATGTATGAACTTAAATTTTATACTGTATGCATGCCTTCGTTACTTTTTTTTTTTTTAATATCAGATTTAATAAATATAGTTACAGTAGGTTTTTCAATTTTATTATAATTTTTTTTATTACCTTTAATATTATTGAAGTAAATAATAATTTCAAATTACGAACCAAATGTTAATATAATTATAATTCTCATACAATATTATTATATTCATATTTTATTAAATATATTACTGTTTTTTCTATGCATGTCACATAATCAAAACTTATTAGTCACGTTGAGTCCAAATATTTTTACCTATTAAAAATTTTAAAATATTAAAAAGTATTTTAAGTACTTAAAATATGTGAAGTTAGACTATATCAAATGAAATATTTATCATTTAAAGTGTGATAGGTCATTTTGAGTTATCATAACGAGAAAGTAAGTTTAAGAATACCAAGAGAAAGTAAGTTTAGTAATACCAAGATAATAATTTGGTGAATGCATCAGCCAGTTGATCTGCAAATAAAACATGGGATACCCAAAAACTATCATTTTGTACTAGTTCTCAAATAAAATGATAGTTTAGAGTGAGATGTTTCGTGTGAAAATAGAAGACTGGGTCGACGTATAGATATGTTACACTAATGTTGTTATTGTATAATATCGGTGGAGAGCTAATCGAGACACCAAGTTCGGTAATAAGGAAGCATATTCATTGAAGTTCTACAGCAACTGAAGCAATTGTTCTGATACTATAATAAAAAAAAAAATTCTACTATAATTTATTGCTTGAATAGTTACACACACATATATATATATATATAGCATGCAATGGACATTTTAGAAAAGCTTTTGATTGAGTAAGAAAACATTCAACAATAATCAATAATCTTACTATAGAAGATTTCAATAATATTTACAAAATATTCGATATTCACTTACATCAGTGTGGATTTAATCTGATAGTTATAATCTAAATGTTGACAGCTAATATAATTCGATAAAATAGTTGGATGGAAAATATTAAATTTAGATGTGTTGCAAGTAATTTATAAGTTTTGGTGTGAATTGGTGAAAGATATGTGAAGTAATGTTACATTTTCTTATAGCTATTGGGAGAAACTTTAGGAAGATTAATTAAAATTATAATTAATTTTAATCATTAATATAGCTAACTATATAATAAAATATCATGTTATGTGCACCAAATGCTCTTAAATTTATTTATTTATAGTGATTTCCTTTTACTCTTCAGTAATCATTGCAAGGAGTTGCATATAATACTTTCATGTGAGTGATAATATAGGAATTTATTAGTTAAATTTATTAATGATTAAAATTTTAATATTTTATTTAAATATTACGAATTTAAATTTTATTAAAAATATATATAATACATAATTTATTTAAATAAAAAATTTAATTTATTAATATATTAATATAACTATAATAATTAAAGTAAATTATAATTATAATTTATTATTATATTTATAAGTAAAATAAATTCCGACAAGCTTTAATTAATCAACCGTTAATTACTGAAAATTCTCTATAAAATACTATTTTTAATTAAATGAAATTAATGAGCTAATATATATATAACAGCTAATAGATACGTGTGGCTCAACCTTAGGCGCCAAGTCATTGAAAACTCAGACAGCGTGGATCTCGTTTTTTCTTTTTCATTTCTCTCTCCGTCCTCCCACTTCCTTGGCTTCTTTATTCATTTTGACTCGTTTGCTCACATGGCAGCTTACCTAATTAACTACACAACCTCACGTCTCTCTCTCTTTCTCTGGAACAAACCAGTTCATCAAACATTTCGTTTTCAATTTCAATGTTTTTTGCTGCTCTGCTCTACAATTCTTCCTCTATTTAAGCTTGTAGCAACATAGATCTCCGTACTTGAAATTCTTCGAAGCGAAAATGAGAAGTTTTAGCTTCTTCCAGAAGGTTTCTAGAGCTTTCCACGATTATCCTTCGCTTTCGCATCTAATTGTCGTCTCCACTGTCAGGTATCATATTTTCTATTCTCTTTCATGTGCTCTCTTTTCTCTCTATTTTGTTTTCCGAATGAGCTCTGTTTTTTTTTTTTTTTTTTTTTCAAATCTTCTTTCGTCATTCCTTTACTTTTATTTTCTTCAATTACTCTATCGTCTACGTAATTTAGCTTTAGAAAGAAGGTGTTTGATTCTATGACTGATTCTTCTTTGTATTTACATTTCGCTAATTTTTTTCTCTCCATATATTTTCATTTGTTTCTGTATAATTTTGGATTCAAATTTACGTGCACTAGCTAAATCTTAGTCTTCTATTATTTAGCTAGTTTTGTTCTTCCAAAGCTCGGTTCACTTCATGTTTTAATAATTCGTATTCGATAAGATATAGTTTACTAGTACTAACATTTTTTGAATCACACCCTTATGCTATATTTTGATGTAGTCATATTCTTGATACGGAGATTTATCGACTCCGCACACACACATAAGCACACAATAAGCTGAATTCCAATTTAAACTTGAACTAGGACGTTTATTGGATTTGCTGTGTTCGGATCTGTTTAAGATACTTCGAAGTTACATGACGAATGAAAACTTATATTGCATCCAGAAAAAAGAACCAACTTGTTGATTTAAATCAGTCTTTGCTGAACTCGTGTTTGCTAGTTTATCTACGTTTCATACAGCATGTTTGCAGAACATTGTGAAGGAATGAAACTTGAGCTGCAATAGCGATATGGATTAGAAGATCTACTTTCTATTTTTGGGGTGAGTTAGGTGATTTACTGTGATGATGATAGATCTGTATCAGTGGATTCTTGATTAATTAGATAATCTTTCAGTGTTGTTGGGGTTTTGATGCTCTTTTATTTGGTGATTGCTCTGCTCAAATCGATGTTAAAGATAGATTCATTTTTTGCAAGCGTATCAGTTGAAAACTTAAATATGAACGCGGTTATGTGAAAACAGAAATGGGAAACTTGACATTTTAACGCAGAATAGTGCATCTTTTAGCCAACCTAAAGCTTGATAATTTTTATATTTTCTTGTTGATTTAAAAAGTGGAAAATCTCCAGTATTGATTTGCCTGCCATTTTGGTTCAACTTTTAAAAGTTGAAGAATTTAATGCACAAAACTCTTTTCTCTTATTGCTACAGTGGTGGGAGCCTTATAGCTTATTCAGATGCAGCTTATTCAGATTCAAATACACCTACTGGCCGCCATGTGGTTGCTGCTGATGAAGGTGAAACCAAGAAAAGGAAGGTTGTGGTGCTTGGAAGTGGCTGGGCTGGAACTAGTTTCTTGAGGAACTTAAACAGTCCTTCATATGAAGTTCAGGTTATATCACCTCGTAATTACTTTGCATTCACCCCTTTGCTGCCTAGTGTTACATGTGGTACAGTGGAAGCTCGAAGCATTGTTGAACCAATTCGGAACATTGTCAAGAAGGTAAAAGGAGATGGTACGCCATTAAAAAGTTCAATGACCAATCAGTATCCTTTTAAGTGTTTCCGACGTTAACAGGTAAATTTTCCTTGTTTCTCCGGCAGAAAAATGTTGATGTTAGTTACTGGGAAGCTGAGTGTGTCAAGATTGATGAACAGAACAAGAAAGTTTATTGTCAATCTAAGCAAGGCATGGATTCGAATGGGAAAAAAGAATTTGCTGTGGACTATGATTATCTTATCATTGCAATTGGAGCTCAGTCTAACACATTCAATATTCCTGGCGTGGAGGAGAATTGCCATTTCTTAAAGGTAAATTCTTGGGAGGTTTAACTGGCTTTTAGCTTGCCACATCGCTGTCATTTTCCCATCAGAGAGATATGCTTTCTTATGCAGGAAGTTGAAGATGCACAGGAAATTCGTAGAACTGTTATTGATTCTTTTGAGAAGGCAAGCTTACCAGAACTAAGTGATGACGAGAGAAAGAAGATTCTTCATTTCGTGGTTGTTGGGGGAGGCCCGACAGGCGTGGAGTTTGCTGCAGAGCTTCATGATTTTGTCAATGAGGATTTGGTTAACCTCTATCCGATGGTTAAGGATTTAGCTAGGATAACAATTCTCGAGGCAGCTGATCATATTTTGAGCATGTAAGATAATGAAATATCAACCTTCTATTTTTTAGTTTCATTTTGTTTTTTATGTTATTCCATACATCGGATGTACCATAGAACTCTTCTCTTTCTTTTCCTGTTTAGCATGTTTGAACTTTCTCTCAGCATATTTCTTTCTGAAAGTGATTCTGAATGCATTTATGGTCCTAAACTTATAATCAAATAGTGACAGAATTTTCTGTTGAAAAACGTTGATAATACTGTCTTGCCTAGATTATCTGGAAGCATGAATTTCGTGAAATCATGAATTTTAAGAACAATGCTTAAGTAGGCTTTCTGATATTAGTTTTAGGTACTTATAGTAGATCCAAGTGTTTTCAGGTCATGCATGGATTTGGGGTCGTAAATAAATGAATAACACTGCACCACATATAGAAGCTTGTATAGTTGATTGCTGTTTTACAATTATCACTCGTGTTACCGTGAGATTGAAGACCAGAAACTAAAGTTGGTTGCAAATTCTAACGTAAGTTTATGATTTTTGAAATTTGAGCACCTGAGACTTGTTTTTTAGGAGATTGACGGCTGCTGAATAAATAATTTTAGAAATGTAAGCAAGTTACTCTTGGAATCCAGTTTTGAGTTTTTTGATTTGCATGTTGTGCCAGTGATTTATCTTGATCATAAATTAATGAGGTTATTTTGGATATCTGAAATGGAAACTTTCCACAAAGAAAAGATTGCTTGAATGTGTATTATTACAGCTGAAGGAATAAGATGCTTTTGTTCCTAGTTAGTTGGTATATGGAAAGTAGTGTTCATGGAATCAACTGCAAGCTCGTGAATGCATCTTAAATTGAAGTTTGTTCATAAGCAGATGTTTTTCTTCATAGGTTTGACAAAAGAATCACAGATTTTGCTGAACAGAAGTTCAAAAGAGATGGTATTGACGTGAAGTTAGGCTCCATGGTGGTTAAGGTGACTGATAAGGAAATTTCTGCTAAAACGAAAGGAAATGGGGAGCTATCTTCTATACCATACGGAATGATTGTCTGGTCAACTGGTATTGGAACCCGCCCAGTAATTAAAGATTTTATGAAGCAAATTGGTCAGGTTTTTTACTCCTGGACCAATCATCTTGAGTTTTTGTTTCCTTTAATAATCATTTTTTTTTCAGTTCTATTCACAACAATCAGATCTGTTATTCTTGTGTTATTCATTATATATACACTTCAACAGGGGAGTAGACGGGTTTTAGCAACTGACGAATGGCTACGAGTAGAAGGAACTGATAGCATTTATGCACTTGGCGACTGTGCAACAATTAACCAACGCAGAGTCATGGTACCACTTTTCTTTGTTTCCTTTTTCAAATCGTTAATCAGCTGTATACTCTCCTCTGCTTTATTGAATGAAGTTTCGGCTCCGAAAATAGACGTTGTTATCTAGGTGATTGCAGTACGAGAGGAAAAAACCGTAATGCTCTATAGAGGAGAACTGACTGCTTTTCTTTTTTAAAAAAATATTTCTTTTGGTTAGTGAAAGAACTGATAACTTTTGAGTATCACACTTGTGGAAATTCTTTATATGCCTAAAATTTATGTGGATTAATAAACTATGGCGTCTTTCATTTATGTCCAATCAAATTTTAGGAAGATATTTCCGCAATATTTAGCAAGGCAGACAAAGACAAGTCTGGAACACTCACGGTGAAAGAGTTTCAAGAAGTCATTGATGATATTTGTGAAAGATACCCTCAAGTGGAGCTTTACTTGAAGAACAAGCCCATGAGGGATATCACTGATCTTTTAAAGGAAGCAAAAGGGGATGTTGCAAAAGAATCTATTGAGTTGAACATCGAAGAATTTAAATCAGCTCTTTCTCAAGTTGATTATGAGATGAAGCATCTTCCAGCCACAGCACAGGTTTTTCATTGTTTTCATTATAATATAGAGTGATTAGCGAATAATATATATTCAAAGGAGTATCTCATTTTGTATCCCTCCATTTCCTGTCTCAGGTTGCAGCTCAGCAAGGTGTCTACCTTGCTAGATGTTTCAACCGAATGGAGGAGTGTGAAAAAAATCCGGAAGGTCCTTTAAGGTTCAGGGGAGAAGGTCGCCATCGGTTTCATCCCTTCAGGTACAAGTTTAACAGACACTAGAAGTCTACATGTCTTTGATATGTATCAATATTTTCCTGATGTTAGCTTGACATTCATTCAAGTGGGATGGTTTGCAGTTAGGATTTCGATTAGGCTAGCTCCAACGTTTATATATTACAATTGCTGCTTTATATAGGTGATTATATTATCAGAGTTCTTTGTTGAATCTCTTTCTTAATGTCATTAATAGAAGAGCTCCTTAATTGAGATGTGGTGGTTAAAATAATCCAAGGCTGAGTTCTATCTGCCATTGCTCAAACGGCAAAAAGGATTCTTCTCATAGGGTGTCCAACATATTTGAACGTTAATTTTTTAAGATGATGCTTTAACACTGTTTAAAATGATTGTCTTTTCAGGTACAAGCATCTTGGACAATTTGCTCCATTAGGAGGAGAGCAAACAGCAGCGCAGCTTCCTGGAGATTGGATTTCGATTGGCCGCAGTACGCAGTGGCTTTGGTATTCTGTCTATGCGAGGTAATAACTTATAATTCTGTTCTCCTGAGTGCCTTTTCTTTTGAAATTATCCGTCACTAAATCATGAAATTATTATGAGTTTACACACACACAAAATTAATGGCTTTGTGTACCACATTATTCTTGATTTTATCGAAGTAGACATAACAGTGCAGTTGTATTAAGTTTCCTCTGGTAAAAAGCTAGATGAGCTGACTCTCTAAATTCTGTGTTTGGGAATTCAGCAAGCAAGTGAGCTGGCGCACAAGAGCATTAGTGATCTCAGATTGGACAAGGCGTTTTATCTTCGGGAGGGATTCAAGTCGAATTTGAGCCAAATAAAGCCTTTACAGTGAGTTACACACCCAATATAGTTTACCTCCTTTTTTTATTTTTGGAAAATTTTTTTATCTATCAATCAGAATAAGTTTTGTATGCAGATTCAGTTTGTCTGAATTTTTTGAATGGTGGACTTTGTGGGTTAACCAGTTTTAATGCTACAATTGTATTCATTTATTTTAAATTTTTATTAAAAAAGTATGGAAATAACACTTAAATTATATCTAATTATATTTATGAAATTTTTTTAAGTTTATTTGTTGTTTGAGAATATATGATGAATTTTTCTTGACAAAATATATATATATATATATATATATCATAAATTGTTCAGTTGCCAAATCATCTTCTTCCCTTCTTGTCTTCTTCTCTTCACTTTCTTTTAAGCTTTCAAGTTTTCTTTCCCTACCAATTCAGTGTGTCATCCGTGCTTCAACTTTTCTCAAGACAGAGGAGATTTAAATCAACTCATTATAAATTCTCTTAATTATATGGTTGATATTACTACTCGTTTTTATGAATTATGTCCGGGTCTGAATTATGCGCATTTTAAAAAAAAAAAGAAAATTGTAAGTTTAAATTAAATTGTGTCTTTTATATTATAAATAAAAATTATAATTTTGAGATAACGATCGTAATAATAATTTCGGGATTCAATTATGATATGATTTTAGGCCAATTATCCAAGTTTATAGCTATAATTTCTCTTGTGATTTACTACAATCATTTTAATTCATTTTCCTTTATTATATGATGCATAGTTGACATTTTATTGAATTTGTAATATAAATATTGATGTAGAAATTAGCAAATAATATATAACTCTCAATTTATACAATTCAAATATAACTCTTATGTATGCATATGTTTTTGGAGTGTTATTTCCTTTATTAAAATATTGATTATACTATTATTAACATGCAAATTCTACCTAACAATTGAAAATATATGAATTTCATTTATATTCGAATCATTGGTTAACTTCAACCAAATTATTATTATTTTTTAACCAACCAAAAGCCAAAAGCATTATCAATCCCACATTGCAATTCCATCCAAGATAGAGAAATTTGTTGGCATCCCAAAGAATAAGCAATTGAATTTGGACAAATTTCTGTCAAAATTAGTTAGGAAACAAGTAGGTAAAATTACCCAACACAATGTCCCAACTAAAACTTGTTTTTTTTTTAATTTTTTTGGAGCAATTCGGATTTAATCAATACAAACACCCAACAGGTACATATATATATATATATATATACACACACACACGTACATACACAAATACTTACACACAAACTTAACATATGCCAACAAAGTCCCATCATCATCCTCACATGTAAGCTTTTCCGAAAATCAATCCAATTCATATATGTTTATGCATAAAATATAAAAGAGAAGAAAACCCTAAATCTAAAAACCATCAAAAGTCAAAGCCCCAACAAAAAAAAAAAATTGATCTTCAACCTCAAATTCCACGTGTAAGTCCCCCAAGATAAGTTCTTTCATGATGATGTGGACAATTGAGAAATTAGGTGGTTGGTGGAACATGGGCTTCTTGACCTTTAGGAGACCAAAAACTTCAGGTCTATTCTAACAAGGGATAAGTATATATACCTTCAATTCTATTTTAATCTATATAATTAGCACAATTAATCTTATTAATTACTTAATTAGTTGAATCAGTATAAATTAGTTTTATTATCTTTAAATGGGTAATTTTTAATTTTATCACGTTATTATCTTGGTTATTTTATAATCTGACTTCAATATGTTTTTAAATTTATTATCTTAAGAGGGTTATTAATTAATTAATTAATTTTAATAGTAAAAATATTTACTATGAAGATAAGCATATATTAAATTTAATTATTGACATATTAAAATATATTTAAAACATAAAAAATAAGTAAATCTTAAATTTATAAAATTATTTAATATTAAATAAATGAATTTTAACAATACACAACATCACATCATATCTGAATTTTATTAAAATGCTAATTTTGAAAATTAACAACTTAGATTTATACTCTTATTAGAATTTATATAACCTCACATATATACACACACATATATATATATATATGTATGTATGCATGCATCTTTTTAATGAACTTATGGATGGTGCATTGCATGTGCAAATCTGTGATGAGTATGTGGCGTGATCCTTTTGACACAAAGCATTCAATATTTAAATAAATAAATAAAAAAAAAAACCCGACCTAACATGAGCAAGCTGTGTTCTATTCATCACTTTTTCATTCTAAAATTATTTTCATTTTTTTAATAATCATATTCCAAATTAATTAATTTTATACATACCTTTTAAAAAATATCTGTATAATATAAGGTTGTAATATTTAATGTAATATGTATCAATTAAAAATAATTCTTAACGGTCATTTTGGTTTTTTATTATTTTTAAAAAAATTAATAATATATAAATTTTAATAAAAAAGATAAATTTTTATGTAAAATTAAAATAATATGTTTTTAATTAAATTTAAATGAAATAATTTTGATGAGTTGGAATTGCCACGTGGATAGGGAGGGGGTGCCGCAAAGGAACATGCGGGGCCCACGACAGTGTCTGGTCACATGAGCACTCAATTGATATGCCCCCTATTGCATTTATTAAAACAACTGTTCTTCCAATTATTTTATTTCAACTCTGACGTGGATCCTTCATATTTAAAGCCCCACTTTTATACATGTTTAAATTTTAGTTTTATGTATATTCACAAAAATTATATGACATATATTTATATATATATATATGTGTGTATAGTTTATCATCTATCTACACATTTAGTATCATATACTATTCTTTCTGACTTCACATTCAATCTCTTTTCTTTAAATTACCACTTATATATTAATTTAATGATTAATATTTTTATATTTTATTTAAACATCATAAATTTAAAATTTTATAAAAATATAAAATTCGATATTTTATAAATATATTATAAACTGATAATGTCTAAGATTTCATTTGCAAAAGTATAGAATTTTCAATTATATCATAAGTTGATGGTACCAACTTATAATATTTAACTGTGTGAGGTTAAAAATATAATTAATTAATATGTTGATAAATGTACAATAACTAAATTGAGTTTTCTCCGATCAAATCATAACATACTCGAATAAAATGAACATCTCGTAGGGTCAGATTTTCTTACTTAGGTAACCATCCCACCTAACTTTTTCATTTTATATTTAAAAAATCATAATCAATCAAATTTTAAGTTTTTGAATATAATTGATTAATATATTTTATTTTGAAAAAATAATTATTACCCATAAAAATTCCCTATCAATCATGCAATTTATAATGTTTGTTTAAATTTTTGATAAAATAATTGAATAATGCAAATTTGTAAACATAAATACATGTTTAGGAAATAGAACCAAAAGGGAATATTCTAGTAATAATGCAATTTTGCAAACTAATAATATCTAACACCAAACCCAATTTTGTTTACAATTTTTTCTATTCAGCTTCATATGTATATATATATATATATTTATAATTTAGACTTTTCAATAAGTTAAAAGATAAAAATTTGATATAACTCAAATAAAAAACCAATATAAAATTAAAATTTACATGAACTAATTGAAAATGAATAAATAAATAAAATTTGGGATTTGACTCAAAAACCCAAAGGAAAAATTATTTGGAAATGAAAGACTTGTGACTTTTATGTCTAATGAGAAAAATTTATTGAAGAAAGCAAACAAGAAATTAAAAGGGTAGCATCAAATTATAGAGTTTGACTCACCATTTTTCCTTTATGAGAGCATTTTAATTTTTATTTGTTTGGTGGAAATGATTTATGACATTTTTTAAGCTTTCAAGTCAAGACATCCAATTATGTAAATCATCATGAAGCATTATTGTTAGGATTTTAAGACATAAAACTATATGATAATTGTAGCGCCCGGGAAATTGAAGAAAAAAAAAAAAAAAAACGTGTGCGCTACGTCAGCAACCACGTCAGCAGACCCAGTAAGCAATCCTGGCCAACCAGGACCTGCCACGTGGCAAAACCACGTCGACCGGGGACGGGCCACGTTGGCGATCCGCGTGCGCGCGATCGGATGGCCCAGATTAAATCAAAATGGACGGCTGAGATCAAAAGGCAAAAGGGTATAAATAAGACCCCCACACCAGACCCCAAACCCTAGCCGCCTGCCCTCGCCGGAGAAGACGAACCAGAAGCCGGCCGCCGCCACCCGCCGCCGCACCGGAGGGATTTCCGACCGCCGATCGAGGTAAATTTCATACCCCCGACTCGTTTTTCTACGCTGATTTTCCTCAGTTTTTGCCTCTGATGAGGCCCTTCCCGGCCTCCGTTTAATGTAATTTTTATATCACCGTGATCACCATTCTTTTCTCTACAGGTTGATCGGAGCCGAATCACCAAAACACGAACTTCACCGGAGAGCCACCGCACCCGAGAGCACCGCCGCCGGTAAGCTTCGGTTTTTTGTAAATTTTCGGCCCCCCGAGGGCCGTAGGGTTATTTTATCGCAGGAACCAATGCGAGTGTGGCTGAATTCGGCCGGAAATGGCCGAAAACGGCCAACCCGAGGCGAACCGCCGTCGCCGGAGCACGGCGGAGCCGCCGTGCCGGAGTTCGATATGGCCGAAAGGGGCTTGGGCTAATTTGAGATTTTTTGGAACACGTGCAGGTACCAGTAGTGCGTTTCAGTTCCCCGAAAAAAATTCAGGGAAAATTGGGGACAGCCTGTAGGCGCACTGTGAAGCCGTGTTTGGACCCCGAAAACGTGTAAGGACCCATCACCCTATTTCCTATCACGGTCTTAAAGTTCAATAAATGATAAAACGGTATTTCATGAATCAATGAATGTGTGAAATTGCTTAAGGTCGCTAATGGAGCCCGAGTCTAGTGTGTTTGTCGGTTAACTGTTATTTGGCCTGTTTTACAGTTTTAAATGCAGCATGAGGTTTGATGTTTTCATTTTATAGTTTCGTGTGCATATTTTACTATTTTACTGATTATGGATTGAATGATTGGGATATTGATACTGTATGTTGTCTGTTTGGCATAAATTATCGTCTTGCTTGTTTGTATGTGTATTGATAATGCTGACTGAGGGAAAAAGAGAATGAAAGATTATGTAAATGGGTAATTGTATAATGTGGTCAACCTGACTATATATCCTGGGAGATGGTGGACGGACCGGGTCCGTAGGAAACCCTACCGGGATTGTGGTCTCCCATACCGGACGGGGTATGGGGACGGCCCGTTTCACCCTCATACCGGACGGGGTAATGAGGTTTATAATTTTGGCGCCCATACCGGACGGGGTATGGGGACGACCCTGGAATATGATTTCAAGTGTTAAGGGTTAACGGGTAACGGGACCCCTATGGATCCCCATGGATACTAGTGGGCTGGTAAATGAGGAAAATATATTGTATAACGATTGAATTACGAAAAGCTTGATAAGTATTACGTTATACAGTTTATATATGATTTCATGACGATGATGATGTTATTGTTTTCGTATATTTACTTATGAATTTCACCGAGATAAGTGAATGGTAAATGTTTCAAAAACAGACGGCCCAAATTAAATCAAAATGGACGGCTGAGATCAAAAGGCAAAAGGGTATAAATAGAACCCCCATACCTGACCACAAAAACCCTAGCCGCCTGCCCTCGCCGGAGAAGACGAACCAGACGTCGGAGACGCCGGCCGCCGCCACCCGCCACCGCACCGGGGAGATTTCCAACCGCCGATCGAGGTAAATTTCATACTCCCGACTCGTTTTTCCACACTGATTTCTCCTGTGGCCAAATCGGAGCCAAAATCCCGGCCAAACGGCTGGAAAACACGGCCGAAACCCAGCTGCGCCGCCGCGCCCCTCCTCGGTTTTTGCCTCTGATGAGGCCCTTCCCGGCCTCCGTTTGATGCAATTTTTATATCACCGTGATCACCATTCTTTTCTCTACAGGTTGATCGGAGCCGAATCACCAAAACACGAACCTCACCAGAGAGCCGCCACACCCGAGAGCACCGCCACCGATAAGCTTCGGTTTTCCGTAATGTTTTGGCCCCCCAAGGGTCCTAGGGTTGTTTCATCGCAAGGACCTTATTGATAAAAGATTTTGTTGTAAATTATGCTCCATTGGTCTTTTTGTGTTTTCTACCCACCTTTACCTCCGTGACGGTGAGATATCGTGATGTCCTTACTGGGCTAGTGTAGATCATTCCTTATTTAATCATTTCAGATCAGGAAGACATTGTTCCCGAGCCGGTTCCGCAGGAGGACGACGAAGGGGACGCCTAAAGACTCCATAGTCATATTTGTAGCTTTTACTTTCAAGTTTCTCATTTAGGTAGTTTAATCTTTTATATTGTGAGCACGTTTTTTGTTTTAGTGTAAGGGATGTTAATCGAATTTTTGACTTCGCTTCCGCATTTGATATTTTTAATATACATTCCATTATGAAATTCCGGGGCCGTTACAATAATCAAATTATTGTTTTCAAATTAACACTAAAATAAAAATTTTTAGGGTTTTTTTTTTTATCATCATCTTATACGTTTTGTTATATTTTTAAATTATAGTTTAAAATACGTATAATTTTTCTTTTAAATAGTTAGTTTGTCGTTATTATATTAATTAGTAGAACATATTCGTTACAAAATATTTTTTATTGGTTAAAAAAAATATAATTTATTAAAATAAAATTTAACTTAGTCATTATAATTATATCGACATATTAATGAATAAAATTTTAATATTTAATAAATCAAATATTAAAGTCATTACTTTTAATCGATAATATATACTTAAAATTCATGAGACTCAAATAAAATGCAATGATCTTAAACACTAAATTATTGTATTTTTGGTAACATAACTTTTACATTTAAATATGAATTAATATTCAACATAATTATTTGTTGAGTTGAACATATATTTTAATTACTTTTTATATTTAAATTAATATAAAAAACTTATGTTATTTTGAATAAAATTTATCAATAATATAAAAAATTAAGTTTTGAAAATTAAATTGTAATAAATATCTTTAACCTAACACTAACGTAATTTACAGTTGAAGGAGTAAAACAATAATTTATATAAAAATTTAAATAAGTACTGTGGTAAAAATTGTATTTTACACGGTGAAATGGGGGTAAACCGGTCTTTTTCTTAAAAAAAAAAGAAGATAAAAACGTAGAACCTGGATATAGCCGGGAACCGTTACTGAGGAATTTAGTGGTAAGAAGTAAAAGTTCGGAGGAACCGTCGCGTCGACATCAGTAACTTTATCGATAAGTTAAAAAAAAAAAGTAAAAGCAAATTACTATTTTTACTTTACAATCATTTAAACAAAAATTACTCCACTCAATTTTACAGTTCCAGACAAAAAAAAAAAAAAAAAAGAAAAACAGGAAGGGAGTGGCGCTAGCATGCGCCATAAGCGCTCTGCGCACCGCAAAATGAATGGGAAATCTGTCCACGTGGCAAAAGATAAGAGGGTGTGCGTAGTAAGCATCAAGGCACAGGTTAGGTGCGGTGGTGGGCTTACGATTACGAACTCCCTGGCCTTTCTTCTTCCTCTCTCTCTCCTCTCTCTCTCTCTCTCTCTCTCTCTCTCTCTGATCGATGTCTGCCGTCAGCTTCATCAAAGGTACAACGAAGAAAAATAAAAGACAGTATTATTATTAATCTTGCAAATTATATATTTCGTACTTATAATTATAATTAAAAAATTATTTTCTTTTTTGGCTATAATACGCAAGTGCCTGTGTTTACTTCTACTTTGGCTCTTCATGATCTCTAAAGTCTCTTTAGACAGAGAGAGAAAGAGAAAGGGAGCGGTTTCCAAGGAGATCCCAGGCTTCGGTTGGACCCGAATCTTCGGTTATCTATCTCGCTTGGATCTCTATTTCGGGTTCTGGGTACTCCATTTTGGTACTCTTCCTCTATAGAAGCTCGCCAGAGTGGAAGAATATAGCTCCTTGGTACAACATTCCCAGCTGAAGGTACTGGTAGCTGCCTAGCTTTGGGTAATAGCTAGCTTGGTTCTCGTTTATTCAATCCATAACTTGTTTCAAGTGTTGGGTATTTTCTTTTTTGTTTTTTCTTTTTCAAACAGTGATTCAGTTCTGGAGAAGAAGAAGTAGAAAACCCATTTACCATTTTTTGTATTCTTGTTGATTTGTTATATGGGTGGTTAAAAGTTGCAAACTTTTGAGCTTTAAATCATATGGGTATGGAATCTGATTCTAAGAAAACAAAGGACTCGTTCAACTCGGGCGACTCAACCCGGTCATTGCCATTCCCGGATGAGGTGCTGGAGCGGGTCCTGTCTCTGTTGAAAACGAGTAAGGACCGGAGCTCTGTCTCGCTGGTGTGCAAAGACTGGTACAACGCCGAGCGGTGGTCAAGATGCCATGTGTTCATTGGAAACTGCTACTCCGTGTCGCCCGAAATCGTGACTCGCCGTTTTCCGAATATACGTAGCGTCACACTCAAAGGGAAGCCGCGTTTCTCAGACTTCAACCTGGTGCCGGATAACTGGGGTGCGGATATTCAGGCCTGGCTCGTGGTTTTTGCGGCCAAGTATCCTTTTCTTGAGGAGCTCAGGCTTAAGAGAATGACTGTAACTGATGAGAGCTTGGAGTTCTTGGCTCTCTCGTTTCCCAACTTCAAGGCTCTTTCGCTTTTCAGCTGTGATGGGTTCAGTACTAGTGGTCTTGCTGCCATTGCCACTCATTGCAAGTAAGTTTTTTTCCTTCCTTTTTCTACACTAAGATTAGTCTCCTGATTTTAAGATTTTCTGGGTTTTCTTTCGATTTTCTGTTCATTTTTTTAGCTTTCTATTTCATCTTTGTTTATTTGCATCAACTGAATGTGGTTTCAGTACTGCACAGTGGTTTTTCTTTTGATTTCCCGAATGGGATTTTTGGGAATGAGAGATCCACTACAGAGAAGTTGTTAACTTTAGTGCTTGTTATTAAGTTACTGGATTAAGCTGTTTTCCTTGATGCAATTTTGAACTGTTGGCTTTAGTATTGTATTGATTCTTTAAAAAAAAAATTTGAAAAGAAGTGCTTCCTTTGCTCCTTTTTCTGTCCCTTTCCTGATTTGACGTTTGACCTGTAATGAGCATTTAATGGATGGCATATACTCGATTTCATCGCCGCACAGATTATCCTCTTTTCAGTGGAAGTCAAATTTATTGAGAAATATTATTGACGGCAAAAAGAAAAAAACAAACAAACAAAAAGAAACCATAAGAAAAGTATGGAGTAACTATTGAATGTTTCTGTTCATCCAGGGTTTTTGTCACTATTACTTAACTGGATCTCTGCTCTTTGATATTTTAGAAAAGATTTTGGCTTCTGGGTCTTCAAATTATTAATTGTGTGACAAATAAATTTGGTTCTTTCTAGTAGTTTGGATTTGTAGAGATTGAGGAATAGTTTCATATAGAAAAAAAGCACAACTATCATTGAAATCTACCCTTATGACATTTGCTAAGAGTTGAGATTGCCAAAATCATTTGACTATCTTGCTAACTGAGGTGAATTAGTAATGAACATGGGGTATTAGGAATTTTCTTGATTTAACCCAGTTCAGCATCGTGTTCTACATATGTGTCTTTGGTTAGTAGGGGAAACAAGTTATCTTCTTGGTAGGACCTAACCCGTGATTTTCAATTAGTTCAGCTCAAGAAGGGCCTTTCCTATTTGCTTATCATCTTGACTTCTGGAAAAAAATTTATGACTTGTAACTCGAACACAGGAACTTGACTGAGCTCGACATACAGGAGAATGGCATTGATGACAGAAATGGAAGTTGGCTGAGCTGTTTTCCAGAAAACTTCACATCATTGGAAGTGCTAAATTTTGCTAACTTGACTAGTGATGTTAATTTTGATGCACTTGAAAGGCTTGTAAGTAGGTGCAAATCAATGAAGGTTTTGAAGGTTAACAAGAGTATTTGTTTGGAACAACTACAAAGGCTGCTTGTTTTTGCTCCTCACTTAGTGGAGCTTGGTACTGGTTCATTCTCACAAGAGCTCACAATACACCAGTATGCAGATCTTGAAAGTGCCTTCAGTAATTTCAAGAATATGCATACACTTTCTGGTCTATGGGAAGCTACTGCAATATATCTTCCAGTTCTTTACCCTGCCTGTGCAAATTTGACATTTTTGAACTTGAGCTATGCTGCATTGCAGAGTGATGAACTTGCCAATCTTCTCTCTCACTGTCCGTATCTTCAGCGCCTTTGGGTGAGTCAGTTAATTTCTAATCTTAATAATTTTTATATTTCTAGAATCGATAGCTTTATTTATCTGTTACTGTGTTAACTTCATCAGAGTTTTACAAAATGTTGAGAAGTTGAGAGGCTGAAACCTATTTATGATATTACTTGGCTATCTCCATACTCCATGAAGGGAAATTATTATTCTCTCCATTAGCATATAAACAGATATTGCTTTCTTGAGTCAGAGGTGCATGTACTGGCCTTTCTTCTACTCCCAGTCCTATCTCTATGTTGGTTGGTTACTTTGTACCATGAATAAGATGCACAGTAGGTTTGACTATGTTCCTCATGATCATCACATTTATTATACTGCCACAGATTATGTGATCAAACACGTTATACATAATTTTTTTGGGTGTTTTTTTTCATCCACCAGAAGTACTTGGAATAGCAATTTTAGATGCTTTCATGAGTGTGGTAATATTGCGTTATACTAACAGATGCTTGAAAGATTTGCACTAGTACAATTCTATGGAAATCTTGATAAGTCATGTTGAACTATGCAAAGGACGTGTCAATGATGAAGTTTACAAAGCATTTATCATTTTGGGCCCTACCTTGTATTCATTTTCCTGATACAGGTACTAGACACAGTAGAAGATAAAGGGCTGGAGGCTGTCGGAGCCTACTGTCCTTTGCTCGAGGAACTCCGTGTATTCCCAGCTGACCCCTTTGGTGAAGAAATAATCAATGGTGTAACAGAAGCAGGGTTTGTTACTGTGTCTTATGGCTGCCCAAGACTCCACTACGTCCTCTATTTTTGCCGCCAGATGACTAATGCTGCTGTTGCTACCATTGTGCAGAACTGCCCTGATTTTACTCATTTCCGTCTATGCATAATGAACCCAGGTCAACCAGATTACACAACAAATGAACCTATGGATGAGGCATTTGGTGCTGTGGTTAAGACCTGTACTAAACTTCAGAGGCTTTCAGTCTCAGGTCTCTTAACTGATCTGACATTTGAGTATATTGGGAAGTACGCGAAAAACTTGGAAACCCTTTCAGTTGCATTTGCTGGCAGCAGTGATTGGGGAATGCAATGTGTGCTAGAAGGTTGCCCAAAATTAAGGAAACTGGAGATCAGGGATTGTCCCTTTGGAAATGCAGCATTACTCTCTGGTGTGGAGAAGTATGAGTCTATGAGGTTCCTTTGGATGTCAGCATGTAATTTAACTGTGAATGGCTGTAGAAACCTGGCAAGGAAGATGCCCAGGCTAAATGTTGAGGTAATAAAGGATAATGGGAGTGATGATCAGGCGGAAAAAGTGTATGTATATCGCTCTGTTGCAGGTCCAAGGAGAGATGCTCCACCCTCAGTGCTCACTCTCTGAAGTTTGATAATGCTAGGTGATCTCTCTATCTCTCTCTCTCTCTCTCTCTGTCCAATGGATACAGCAATAGATACGGCTCCTAATCTAGTGAGAATCCAAACGCACAAGAAGCAATAATGGTTCTTTATCTTGATTCTTATGCAAGTTGTTTTCCTGGTTTATTTGAACTTTGGGATTGGAGAAGGTTGTTTCTCTGGTTTCGGATGGACTGAGGAGGATTAGTCCTGGACTACTGTCGACCGAGACCTACCATTTTCTGTTAGAAAGTCTTAATTGACCATGGACGATGCTGAAGCTTTTTCTCCTCGTAGGTTAAGCCTGTGGACTATGTGTATGCACATTGCATATGTATTCTTCATTTTTTCTTTTGAGCTTCATGACCTTTTCATAGATAGCCAGCCAAATTCAACATAAACCTGCCTATCAACCACTTTCAAAAGTTGCTGAAAGCCAGCATCTAGTAACCTTCTCTGATCTCTGGTACTAAGAAAAGTTAATCTGGACCTGTCATTCCATCAAATTCCAAAACTTTCCAAGAGCCAACATAAGGATAGCTCCACAGATGCCATTACTCCAATCCCTAGAGTGGTTGGGTTTGGATTTTTAGTAAATTTACCCTCACAGTCAACTTTACCTATTGTCTAAATCTGAAATGTTCATAGAATATAGCCTAGAAACCTGATTGGCTGGATTTTGGTGACTAAGCATACAACTTTTGTTCAACCTGACCTGTGTGTTTTCCAGGTCTAGGTCTGGCATATGCTAGTATTTTGGCTTTCTACAATTTGTGTTTTATCATTACCTGTATGTAACATATTTTCTTTAATGTGATTCAGCATTAGATCTTCATGGAACAACCATGAACAGACATCAGTTGTCTGATATTCATGTGATTGGGAGGTGAAAAGTATGATGGAGGTCCACGGAGATGCTGTTCTTCAGTACTGTTCCTTTTTTTTTTTTTCTTTGATGAAGCTACTCAATAGAGAAAAGCAAGAGGGATAAAAGAAATTAGTTCATTGATTTACAATCTGAGAAGCAGGGAATAAGGTTCTTCTTCCTTCATGTGTGATTTACTGCACCCTTGAAAAGCAAGATTGCCAGGCTGCCAATGCAGAAGTAGATGAAGCAGCCATGGCAGTGGGTCACAAATGAACCGAAATCTGTGCCTACCACACACTGCCATCCAGGTCCATATGCTCTATCAAAATCCTGAAACAGAAACAAACAGCATATTATCCGAGGCGGTATCAGGTACAAATTATACAAATGATTTTAGTCAAGATAATCATAATGACATACAGGAGTTGAAGATCACCTCTTTTATGAATCGGGCTATATCAGTAGATTCAGTGGCCTCAAATAAATCAAGAGCCTTTGCAGCCAATTGAAGTGCATCATGCTGCATTGTTTGAAGCATGTCAGTCTCGTCAACAATAGCCTTGCCTTCTAACATGGTAGAGGAAAGCTTTGCTATTGAGAAGGTTGAGAGGATATCAGGTTGGGACTGAAGTACAGGGCTGTATTGGTATTTATAGAAACGAGACTAAGACGTAGATGCTGGCAGGTAGGTTCTGTATAAAAACTTGATTTAGTCTGGTTTGGTCACTGAGTCAACCATTGCAATAGAAGAAAAGTCAGGAGGTTGCCATACATGTATGAACTTCAAACCTCCGGGTGATTGGGAATGGTTGGGGGTGGGGGGCGCCTGGATTAACTTCAATTATTGGCTCGGGTAACATATCATGAGAAGAAAAGGCCGAATGATTCTGGGTCCACATTATCCTCGAGATATGAGACATTTGTGGCTGTGTGACTGGTAATCTGCTATTGAATTTCAGTGATTTTGTAAGGTTGATAATCTATTGTCTTTTTGCCCCTGCTTTTGCATACTTGCTTTTTAGTTTTTGTTTGTTTGATGGACATGGAAAATGGACCTCGGCTAATGCCCCTATAACAGGTCGGCATATTGACTGGTTCCGGAGTCTGAGGAAATTAATGCGGGTGGAAAATGAAGTTTTCTATGGCTACATTTTCATAATCTTTGCTCCAAATCTGAAGCAAATGAATTCTTCTAATCCGGGTTTTGAAGAATTCCACTGAAAGAACCAGAAGAAAGAAAAAGAAGAGGACTATGATTGGTTTCTCTTGGAAATCATTTGATCTTAGAAAGTGAGCTTTGTCATACATTGCATTGCATGTGAATCATGTGATTTCTTTTTTAAATAAAGTCATTTGTGATGATGGAGTAAATCCACCAGGAAGCTAGTAAAAGAGGTTTT